ACAGTGGTTGAAAATGTTGTTACATTATACTCAAGGAAAAACTTCTAGTTAACCAGATTGCCTAAAACAGGCAGAGTCATAAAATGTAAACAGAGTATCTTTCAAAAGGGAATTTAAGAGAATAGAATAATTTCCACATCAAGGGTTACTGCCTTGTAAATTTTAATTCAAAGGAGAAGGAAAGTCAACATGAGGATTCCACCCTTAACAGGATTTCTATTCCAGTTACATGAAGTGCAAGTGTGAAGGACTCTGCTCTCTCCTGATCCAGGACACATCCTGGATCCTGGCACACGGAGATAAACAACAACTAAGCAGGGGGCCTGCAGGTAGGAGCTCACCCCGCCTGGCCTGAGTCTGCAGAAACAAAGGCTAGCTGAGGAGGTGTGGCAGATGAGCCAGAGAGTACACTGGAAGTGCATCCTTTTGGGGGAAAAGTAAATTAGAAAGCAAAGTGACTAAAAAGTGAAATGTGGAGCTAAAGGAAGACGTTGAGACAAAATTAGCATAGAGAGTTTACTCGGACCAAGGCTGAGGACAGCTGCCCAGATCACACTTCCAAGTTACCTGGGAGAGTACTCCAGGGGCCTTTGTCATGAGCCGCTTTTGAAAGGCAAAGGGAACAAGGAATGGGCTGATGCAAAGTCGTTTGACAGGAATCCTTACTGGCTTACAGAGATAACACTGGCTAGTGATGTAGAGAGTATGGCATTTTATGGCTACTTGGCCTCAGTTAGTTTAGAGTCTGCATAGCACGTGGCTTCAAGAGGAATTTATAAAGCTCAAGCAGGGAGTAGAACGTGACTGCTGTTTCATTCCAATGTCTCTCTGGGCCTGATAACATAAAAGGGCTTGAATTCCTCCAATAAAAAGTTTCTTTTCTTTCTCAAAGCTTCAGGAGAATCTACTAAAGTACTTACATATGGATTTAGGGGGAAAAAAAACCATGTTGCTTTTAATTATAATTTCTCTTTGTGATACTAGGTAAACATAACTACTTAATATAAAATAAGTACTGTATAAAATTGGTTGGTTATTCTCATACAGAAAACTTGTTGGTTATGTACTAAGCTTAAGAAGACCCCAGCGGCACCATTTGAAGTACTTTATTTGATGGATCCTCAAAGGTACCACGCAACATATCATACTTTCTTAAATCCAGGATACATTGTTTCACCTTTTCATACTTCTCAGGTCACAATGTAACCTTATAATAGATATGAACCTGAAAAGCTGTTATTAAATATCACAATTAGTGATATCTAAAAATTAAGAAAATATGGCGAGGCTAGATGTGGGAACTTTCTGGGGTGATGGTGCTGTTCTCTATAGCTTGTTAAAGGTGGAGATTACACAAATGACTCAGCAAATAAATACTTAAGATTTGTGCATTTCATTATAAGTAAATTTTGCTTCAAAAAAGTGGAAAATACTGAAACTTAGTTAACGCTATATGCTCAAGTATTTAAGGGAAAGTGTACTGATGTCTACAATTTAACTTGAAATGCATCAAATGAAGGGATTAGTAGCTCACTAAAGTGGTATGAAAATTACTTTAAGCTGAAAACATCTAAACAATCAGCAGTTGCAGAAAGAAATATTATCTAACCTCATGTATGTAGAGCTGCCACTGACCCCCTCTACAAGGGGTTTCCTGATTGGGAAAAGATTGACCCTCAACACTGGAAAGTGTGAACTCGGCTACCATTAGAATCAAAAAGCCCAACAGAACCCTAGTACATTCCCAATGAAGCCCTAAACTCCATGGACAACTTTTGTTAGGATGAATATATAAGCCTTTTTTATTTCTGGTAATTCAGCAAGTTACTCATCACTAGAGTAGGCTTGTGTAAATAAACTTTCTCTTTTCTCCTGTTAATCTGTCTATTGCCAGTTAATTTGCAGGCCCAACTACTGGACTCTAGTTGGAAGAAGAAAAGTTTTCCTCCTAACAAAAACATTAAAATGGACTGATGGATGGGTAGAGGGATAAACAGACTGCAGACCCACAGCTATGAAAAAGCAAGTAGAATAAAATATTAACAGTAGAATCTAGGTGGTAGCTATATAGGTATTTACTGCAAAATTAATTCAACTTCGCTTTATGACTTAAAATATTCATAGTAACATGGTGGGAAAAGGTAACAATTTAAAAAAGAATACAAGAAAAGAAAACATGGTATATGATGACTGCTACTTTGTGTGCAAAAAGAGATAATCCAGCTGTTGGAAGACTTATCTCATAAAACTAAGCCTAATAATTGATGACAAACTTCAGACTAAAATGATGTTGACCATCTAATTACAAGTGCTAGTGTCTATAATGGTCACTTTAGGTAACAAGTAAATTAGTGCTTACTAACCTTCATTCTGTCAAATAGCAGTCATTCTCTCCCTAAGAGAGTCTTGCTTTCAGACATTTCCAAAAGTCCTCATCAAATCACCCAATCTAAGAGGAGAGTACAAGTCCTCTACCTTTCATTGGAATGGATTTTGTTCCATTCCAACACCTTGATGGCGGATCAACTACAATAATGGCCCCGACTGCTTCATGCCTCATCTTATGGTGTTTCCCACCGACTCTGGCCTTGGCCATGCCATCTTGCTTTGGAGAAATGTATGGCAAGATGTGACACAAGCAGAAACTTGAACAACGCTTACACATTGGAGCTTGCCCTCTTGTTGCTCCTGGAACCCTGCCATCCCATTAAAAGCCAAGGCTAGTCTGCTGGGGAATAAGAGGACATGTGAAGAAACCAAGGCACCTAGCCAACAGTCAGCCAGTCACCAGCTGACGCACTGTTCTCTGCAGATGCAGGAGTGACCCTCGGACGAGACAGCTGACCCTGGCCAGCCCAGATCAGCAGAACTGCCCAGCTGAGCCCAACCCAATTGCTGAGAAATGTATAGAACCATGCTGGGTTTTTTGGTTTTATTTTCGGTTTTTCTGAGACAGTGTCTTGCTCTGTCACCTTGGCTAGAGTATAATGGTGTCATCATAGTTTTGTGCAACCTCAAACTCCTGTGCTCAAGTGATCCTCCTGCCTTAGCCTCTGGAGTAGTTGGAACTACAGGCATATGCCCCCATGACCAGATAATATTTTTTTTTCTATTTTTTGTACGGATGGTGTCTCACTCTTGCTCAGACTAGTCTCGAAATCCTGAACGCAAGCAACCCTCCCGCCTTGGCCTCCCAGAGTGCTGGGATTACAGGCATGAACCACCTCACCCAGCCTGAACGATGCTGTTTTGAGCCACTAAATTTCTTGGTGGTTTGCTGTTTAGGAAAAGCTAATTTATTAATATATAACTCCCGAGGTTAAACAATGCTAGAAGAAAATTCATACAACAAAGTAGACTAACTCCCCTCTCCTCAAACCTCCTATCCTGCCACTCCTCCCCCTTATTAGATACCAAATCTACTTCACAGAAAAAGAACCGTCAGATAAGAACTTTCTGAATTCCCAGCTCCCGACCCCTACTTACCGACATCAGTACTCTGCCTCCTCGGCCTGTCACCGTAGAAGAGTCACATGCCCAGCGCCCAGGACCCCATAGAACTCTGCATCTCATCGTCCTGCTTGCTCTCCCAGTTCTCTTTCCTTCCTGCCCCCATCCTCAGCTACTCCCAAAATACTGTCTCTTCTCATCAGTATTTCATCTTGTACATGCTGAAAACACCACCAAGAGCAACAAAAATCCTCTGTCGATCTCTTACCACTACTCAACTACTATTCTTTTCACTTTCTCAAACTATTTGAAAGTAGTGGATCTGTACTTGGTTTTTTGTTTTGTTTTGCTAAACTTTTTCACCTCCCCTTCATTCCCCGACTGCCATCTGGCTTCTACCTCCTCGCCATCTCCCAGTCCGCTCAGTCAGCGCCCCCCACCTTCTGCTCCCCACGCACACGCTGTTGCATACCTCATGCAGCTCAAGGGAGCCTGAAATGCAGAGCACCCTCTCTTCCTGAGATGAAGGACTCCTCTCTCCCCTCACCTGCTGTGCCACCACACCGTCCTGACTCCCCATGCCTCTATGTTGGATCCTTCTATGGTTCTTTGTGGCTCTTTTTCCTCTGTCCGACAGTCAGATGTAGGTTTTTCTCAGGATTCCACACACTGCCTTCTCTCAACACATTCTTCTAAGGCAATCTCGTTCACCAGCATGGCTTCTATCACCCTCTGTATGCTGCAGACTCTTCAGATCTGTATTTCTAGCACAGATCTCTCTCTCCTGAGCTCCAAACCAAATACCCAACAGCCTAATGGACAGCTCTACTCACATGAGCCACAGGCATACACCTCATATGCAATGCGCCCAAAACCAAGCTCCAGATCTTCCCCTCCAAATCAGCCCTCCCCCCATGTTACCATGTCAGGAGATATTCTGATTTCACCAACATTATCTTCTTCCTTAGCTCCCTTTTCTCAGCCATGTAAATCACCAAGACCTGGTAAGTCTGCCTCCTAAACTGAATACCATTTAAACTCAGCCACTTCTCCACCTAAGTCACCATCATCTCTTGCCTAGATAACTGAACAGCCTCTTACGTGGTTTCCTGTTTCAACTTTTCATAATACAGGCAAAGTGATCTTTCTAATGTGCAAATCTAAGCATGTCCTGTCATGGATATTGTTTCATTCACCTGTGAATCTTAGTACTTAGCACACAGTACACTAGGCACATAATAATCAACAAATGTTTAATGAATAAATAGAATAAATTAGTGAAACGTCCAATAAGCCTACACTTGGACATATAAACTAAAGATTTAAGTTTCACAGATTAACATTATAAAATGTGTGAAAAGCCCAGTTTAACAACTGAACAGTAACACCAGATTTAAGTAATTTATATAATCTTAGTCTTAAAATAATTGCAAGGTTTATATCAAACTCTTAAAAATTTCTGCTCTACTCCCCCCTCCCCCATAAAAAAAGTAATTGCTCTATTTTCCAACAGAATCAAAAACAAGTCTGAATATTCAACATCTACTTACGTGCAAAGAATTGACTGGTCCTCACGATCTATAAAACAGAACAAAACAAACAAAAAAAAGAAAGTGACCATTTGCCTGGTTTTAAAATATGTGATATAATAAAGTTGCAGTAGTAGCTTAAAAAACATTAGTAATTCTACTCCTCTCGAACCAAGTTAATGCTTCTCCAACCATATTATATAGCCTTCAATCGAATCAAGTTCACTCATTATCTCCTATTATTATGTCAGATTCTGTGGAGGTAAATACCAATAACTCAGGTTTACTATTCCACATATTGTTTGCCTAGATGACTTTCTATGCCTAATCAACCTTGACTCTCAAACTCTGCAGCCTATCAAATTCAACTGGGAAGTTTTATTAAATGTACTTCCTAAAGCTCCACCCTCACTAAATCATTAAACTTGGGGAGGTAGGGATTGAAAATCACTCTTTAAATAAGCTCCCCAGGTGATTTTGTTGCCTGGCTAGGTTTAGAAACCACTGACTTTCAGAATAGCTTCAAGAATACCCACAACCAGAGAGTAATCATTATTAATTTGATCTTAAAGGAGGGGGGGGGGAAAGTATCAAACACTGAGTGGAAAAGAAGGTTGAAGGAGGATAAATACCTATATGAAGTTTAAGTATTGTCTCAAGTCAAAATGTGATATATGCCAGCTATAACAAAAGAATGTACAATGATAACATCTAACATGATTGCAAAGTGACTAATTTAAAGATTCAGCTAAAATTTTCAAATAAAAAGGTGAAATTCAAACCCACATCTAGCCCATGAACAGAATTACCAGTGTAGGATGTGTAATTTCTAAACACTTACGAGGATTACTATCCCTATTGCACAGATGATAAAATGTTCCTCCGTGAGGTTAAGTAATCCTCCCAAGTCACACAGCTACAGACAGGCAAGGACGCTGAGATGAGGCCTGTCTGCCTCTGGTGCCTGCCTGTGTTCTTAGCACTACTGCACAGTTTGCCGTTGCTTCCAAAGGAATTGTGCCCACAGAGCCTGGCCCAGGTAGCTTTTCCTTGGAAGATGCCATGAGGTGCCCAATGAGGATCTCACAGTAGCTCAGGCATAAATAACTTTCACAAAAGAGAAATAAGTAGGCCATTCACTATATTAACTCGTTTTATACAATATTATTAAAATAAAACACACCAACAAAAAAAGAAAACTATAGGCCAATATCTCCGATGAACATATATGCAAAAATCCTCAACAAAATACTAGCAAATGGAATTCAATGACACATTAAAAAGATTACTCATCATGATCAAGGGGATACATCCCCGGGATGCAAGGATGGTTCAGCATACTCAAATCAACCAATGTGATCCATCATATCAATAGAATGAAAAACAAAACCATGTGATCATTTCAACTGATGCCGACAAAGCATTTGCTAAAATTCAACACCCCTTCATAACAAAAACTCCCACAAAACTGGGTATAGAAGGAACTTATCTCAACAAAATAAAAGCCATATATTACAGACCCACAGCTAGTATCATACTGAATGAGGAAAAACTGAAAGCCTTTCTTTTAACATCTGGAACAAGAAAAGGATGCTCACATTGACCACTGTTATTCAATATAGTATTGGAAGTTCAAGTTAGAGTAATCAAACGAAAGAAATAAATAAAGGGCATCCAAATTGTAAAGGAAATTATCCTTGTTTGCAGATAATATAATTTTGTATCTAGAGAAACCTAAAGATGCCACAAAAAAACTATTTAATATTAGAACTGGTAACAAAACAAAAATTTAGTGAAGTTGCAGGATATAAAAATCAGTAGTATTTCTGTATGCCAACAGTAAACAATTAGAACAAGAAACCAAGAAAGTAATCCCACTTACGATAGCTACAAATAAAATAAAATACCTAGAAATAAACTTAACCAAAGAAATGAGAGATCTCTATAATGAAATGTATAAAACATTGATGAAAGAAATTGAAGAGGACACAAATAATAGAAAGATATTCCATGCACATGCATTGGAAGAATCAATATTATTAAAATGTCCATACTGTCCAAAGCAATCTACAGAGTCAATGCAATCCCTATCAAAATACCAATGACATTCTTCACAGAAATAGCAAAAAATAATCCTAAAATTTATATGGAACCACAAAAGACCCATAGTAGCCAAAACCATCCTGAGCAAAACCCAAAACTTGAAGAATCACATTGCCCGACTTCAAATTATAATATAGAGCTGTAGTAACCAAAACAGCATGGTACTGGCAAGAAATCAGACATAGACCAATGGAATAGAATAGAGAACCCAGAAATAAATGCACACATCTATAGTGAACTTATCTTTGACAAAGTTACCAAGAATATACAGTGGGTAAAGGACTGTCTCTGCAATAAATGGTTCTGGGAAAAACAGATATTCATATGCAGAAGAATGAAACTAGACCCTTATTTCTTGCCATATACAAAAATCAAATCAAAATGGATTAAAGACTTAAATCTAAGACCTGAAACTATGAAACTACTAAGAAAAAGACATACACTTCAGGACATTAGTCTGGGCAAGGACTTCTTGAGTAATACCCCCAAAGCACAGGCAACGAAAGCAAAATTGGACAAATGGGATCATATCAAGCTAAAATGTTTCTGCACAGCAAAGGAAACAAAGTAAAGAGACAACTCACAGAATGAGGGTAAAAATCTGTAAGCTACCCATCTGACAAGGGATTAATAACAAGAATATACAAGGAGCTCTAACAACTCAATAGGAAAAAAATCAAATAATACAATTAAAAATGGGCAAAGGATCTAAATAGACATTTCTCAAAAGATGACATACAAATGGCCAATAGGTACATGAAAAAGGCTCAACATCATTAGTCATCAGAAAAATGCGAATCAAAATCACAATGATTCACATCTCATGCCTACCAAAAAAAAAAAAAAAAAATCACAATGAGATATTATCTCACCCTAGTTAAAATGGCTTTTATCAAAAAAGACAGGCAATAATGAATGCTGGTGAGGATGCCAAGGAAGACAAACCTTTGTTCACTGTTGGTAGGAATGTAAATTAGTGCAACCACTATGGAAAACAGTATGGAGGTTTCTCAAAAAATTAAAAATAGAACTACCATATAATCTAGCAATCTCACTGCTGGATATATACCCAAAGGATAGGAATTTAGTATATCAAAAAGATATCTGCACCCCCATGTTTACTGCAGCACTATCCACATAGCCAAGATATGGAATCAACTTAAGTGTCCATCCATGGATGAATGGATGGATAAATTGTGGGATATATATGCAATGGAATATTACATGGCCACAAAAAAGAATGAATTAGAAACAACATGGATGGATCTAGAGAACGTTATGTTAAATGAAATAAGCCAGACACAGAAAGACAAATCTTGCATGTTCTCACTCATATGTTGGAGCCAAATAAAAAACAATTTATCTCATGGAGACAAGAGAGTAGAATGATGGTTACCCAAAGGTGGGAAGGGTAGTGGGGAGTAGGGGATAAAGTGGGGATGGTTAATGGGTGCAAAAATATAGTTAGATAGCATGAATGATATTTGATAACACAACACAGTGACTATAATTAGTATCACTATACTGATCAGTCATGCTGATTATAATCAGCCATACTGATTATAGTTAGGGTATACTTTAAAATAACTAAAAGAGTGGAATTGGAGTATTCCTAATACAAAGAAATGTTAAATGCCTGAGGTGATATCCTGATTACCCTGATTTGATTAATTCACATTATATGCCTATATAAAAATATCACATGTACCCTATTTAAAGATATACAACTATTAATATTATATACCCATAATTAAAAATTGAAAAAAATTTTTTAAATTTAAAAAAATAAAAAAACATGAAATGATTAGTTATACTTAAGTATATGATACGCTTAGGTATAAATCTAACAAAATATGTACAAGATCTATATAATGAAAACTACAAAACACCAAGGAAAAAAACCAAAGACCTATATGGAGAGACAAACTGCATTCATGGATTGGAAGACTCAATGTTGTCAATTCTGCCCCAAGTGATCTACAGATTCGATGCAATCCGATCAAAATCTCAGCAGGATTTTTTTTTGTAGAAATTGACAAACTGATTTCTAAAACATATATATGGAAAAGACAAAGGGGCTAGAATGGACTAAATTTTTAAAAAGAACAATGGTGGAGAACTCATACTCCCTGATTTCAAGATTTACTATAAAGCTATTGTAATTAAGCCAGTATGATACTGGTAAAAGGACAAACATAAAAATCAAAGGAATAGAGAGTCCTCTAATAAACCTTTGTTGATTTTGAGCAAAGGTACAAAAAGGCAATTCAATGGAGAAATAAGTAGTCTTTTCAACAAAGGGTGCTAGGAATAACTGAACATCCATAGGCAAAAAGAGGAACTGATTAATATACCTTGCACCATATAAAATAGGCCACAAACCAAGAGGAAAAAATAGCAAAACCACTTATCCAATGCAGCAGTCCCCAACCTTTTTGGCACCAGGGACCTGTTTCATGAAAGATAATTTTTCTCCAGATGGCAGGGGAAGCGGGGAGGGATCGAGTAAGGGACGAGGAGTGGCTATATAGATGAACCTTTGTTTTCTCACCTGCTAGTCACCTCCTGCTGTGCACTCCCCAGAGGGGGCAGGGCATGCCACCACCCCTGTCCCTGTCCTTAGTTTCATGGAAGACTTTCCATGGATGGAGGTGGGGGGCAGCAGCAGTGGAGCTCTGTGGCCCGGTCCCAAACAGGCCACACAGACCAGTAATGGTCTGTAGCCTGGGCGTTGGGGACCACAGCAATAAAAGATTTGTATCTAAAAAGGACAACGAACTCTCAAAACTGAATAATAAGCAAACTACTCAATTTTTAAAAATGGTAAAAAGATTTGGACACCTCACCACAGATATACAGGTACTAAATAAGCACATCAAGAGATGCACTAGGGAAATGCAATTCAAAACTATAATGAGTTGCCACTACTCACCCATTAGAAAGACT